ACTATTTTGATGCTGTTATTTCAGGAATTATTAAATCACTTTTAGTTATTTTTAAATTCAGGTTGGACCTTTCTGGTCTGGTACCCTCAAGATCTGACCAGTCCTGAACAAGAGAATTTGCCGGACCAGAGGAGATTCCCTGCTATTGGCTCCCCTGACCACCTTCCCTCCCCCCACTGGCCCCAGCCGCCCCACCCGCCGGGCTGCCAGGCTGCGCCAGCCCCAGCAGCCCAAACTGCCCCGGCCCCAGTCCCACTATTAGGACTGCCGCATCTCCAGACTCAGTCCCGCTATTGGGGCTGCTGCGACTGCCACGTGTCTGGCCCCAGCATCACTACCACAACTGCTGCATCTCCAGCCTTCGCCCCGCTGCTGCAGTTGCCACACCTCTGGCCCTCACCCCACTACCGCGGCTGCCACACCTCTGGCCCTGTCATTGGGGCTTCCACAGCCCCTCCTGTGCTACCAGGGCTCCGGTGCCGGTCCCAGCCCCGCTGGGCTCTCAACTGCCAGCCCTCTTGCCACTGGGGCTCCTAGCCAGGACTCCCTTGTCCAGGAACGCCCGTGATCCTTCCGGAATGTTGCCAAATGAGTGTGTCCCAGTTTGAGGAGGTCCAACATGTTGTTTCCTAGTGTAGACATACCCTTAGCCTTTTCATTGGGTGGGTGTAGATTTTGCATGTGCACCTATTTGCATTATCCTCTTTGTTGTCTAACTGTTGGATTTGCATGGCCCATAATCGAGCATGCATGCTGAATACCCAAAAAAAGGCCACATTGAAAAAATCTGGTCATAAATCTTATTTTACCCTGGTGCATGTCATTGATACTAAAATGCAGCATATTTCTGAGTAACTTTTGTCTTACCTTTAAAACAAACTCAGGGAGATTATCTTGGCACACTGATAATAATCACTCATCAATTCATTGGGAGAGATATCAGTTCCACCACAATGATCCTTTGGACTCTCGAACTATGTTATGTGGTTCATTAGAGAATAGCAGGTCTTGCTATTGGTTGGGTCAAGAGTCAAAATTGCAGCATAATTGCAAGTCTCCAAGCACAAGGCAATGGTTTTTAGTCCTGGAGGGTGTTGTCCAAAGGGGAAAGAAAACAGAAGGGAAAGATTAAGTATGAGCAATTGAGCCCTACTGAGAGGGCAGAAAAGTCACTGGAATTGGGATTAGCCAAGATCTTGTAATGAAAAACAAAAGCCCTGTTGGTTGGCTGGTATATATACCTAAGAGGTGTGAGGAGACAGAGGGGGGAAGGCAGAGTAGGGGGAAAGGTGCTAAAAGGGCAGGACTATAAAAAGAGGATTAAGTAATACGGGAAGGCAAAAATGATGTTCCTATATTGTGAAGAATAGATAGATGTTCAATATTATTTGTAGTTAACAGAAAATACCAATTAGAATTACACCAATCCTAAATTAATCAAAGTGTTTTAATTGAATTTATTCCAAAACCACAACCTTAAGGAAACCCTATAAATATCAAGTAGAACTAAATAGCTCAGCTATTATTAACAATAATCAAAGCTATTATTTCTCTTGTTTACCAGGACCTACTATGCTTTAAAGCTTTACACAAACCTAACATACAATTTCACTATATTTCAGATAACTTCTCCTCCTAAAATGATAATGTGTTAATCTAGGCTGGGTTTTTTGGCAGGAACCAAGGAGCTCAAGCAACTTGAAATAACATCAGCAAAACATTATTTATTCTCTATCCCTTAGCTGAAGAGAAAACAGAGGTTTTCTTGGCTTCCTTGCTTTTCAATAGCTTTCTGGTTTCAATTAAAATTTTGAGTCTGAGAAGTTAAAAAAAAGAGTCAGAGCAAAGAGGGGATGGAAGAGAAATTTCCAATCTCTGTGTGTTTCTTTCTCCTTACATAACCATTCCAATCTAACTGGAGAGATTAAAATACAACTACAGTGTTTGGATAACTTGTTTTTAAACATGTTTCTCACTCCAATGCCACATCACTACTGATTGGGTAGAGTTAAAGCAACAGAATGTGAAATCCACTTGTATATTTGTTTCCATGTACATAAAAACAACCCTTTACTTTCTCTTCTGTAAGGTCACAGACGTATATTTCACGAGATTTGTAGCATCATTGACTAGTGCTATAAAGACAATCTTTACTGTTGACTGAATCAAGTTAGTCCTGTCTGCAGGGGCTGTTTAATCAATTGTTACCGTTTAGGTCCATGATATTAAATATAGGACTGGATTTGCCCATAATTCTTTACCCCTGAAATCCTCTTGTCAATATGAAAGGAATCAAATTACTTCCCCTGACAGCAGAGGACTAGAAAGAGAAACATTTTACTTGCCTAAAACATCATTTGCATTTGACAGATGTACACAGAAGGCAAAGCACTGATTACGCACAGGCAGATCCCAGGCTAAACAGACCCATTGCAGAACCGCTGCTGCCCAAGCTGACCCAGTCTGCTGGCTTGTTTACTCCTAGCAGGTAATGAACCGCCTCCATCCCCAGTATTAAAAAGAGAAATATTGTTTCCCCTGGCATGTCCCCCTCGTACATTTATTTGCCACCTACTCCTCCGGGGGCTCAGCTCGGATTACAGTATCACCACGAACTGCAACAACTGTGCCTCTGACACCCGCAAAACCTTGCAGACCAGAGGGAGAAGAGCAGCAACACAAACGGGATCGATTTTCCTGTGAACTTTTCCAGCGCTCAGACCTAGCCCCTGCGCCCTTCTGCCTCTCGCACCCTCCTCTCCTTCCTCCGCCTGCCTCTGGGCTCTCAGACCGGGAAGCGAGCGGCGGAGGCTCTCTTAAGGCACATAGGAAAACCCAGACACTAGATCCCCGAGGCATCAGGGGAGTGAGAGAGAGAGAAAGAGAGATGCGTC